GGTTGTTACCGACATCTGGTGAAAATTTCATGTCATTAGCACCTCTAGTAATATATTTACTGAGAAAAATGGTGACGTGTTCAATACTTATTTTACCTGCTGTAAACAAACCTTTTGCAAAATAATTAAGAGCCAGTGACAGGCATTTCAGGAAGGACAACCTGTCAAACAGGCACTTGTCTTATGAAAACCGAGCACTGTTTAAGCAAGCATAGCCTGAATCATAAGCCGACCTCTTTAGTCACGCAGTATTTGTGCACTCATGTCACTCTGGGTGGGAGTGTTTTATTATTTGGGTATTTAAATAATACAAATCCTGCTTGTGACCAAAATCATAAGGTGTACAGTCAAATGTGCTGAGACAAACTTGTATTTTCTGTCTGCATTGCGTATGCTGGTTCATCACAAGTGAGTAAACATTATATTTGTCACTGAAGTGGACCCACACCGACCTGTATGTTCTGAAGAGCTCGTCACTCTCCTTGAACCCATTGTTGAGCAGCATATTGATTCCTTTCAGAGCCATCTCCGCGTCGTTTATCCCGTCCGTCTTGTCCCCCTCCGCGACCCCCGACGCCGCTGGTTCTGCCGGCTCCGCCATTAAGACATCCGATGCGGCCGGAGGCGAGGAGCCAAACGCGGCAGGGGAAAAGCAAAGGGCGGCAGTGGTGTTTCTGGACAGTTTACTTACAGCTTAAATAGTCTCCGTCCTTGGCGCAGCAGTGAACGAACGTTGTCATATCGATATTTTTAATTTAATTAWGAGTCTACTAACTGAACTGGACCACTCAAATGTTTATAAACAACTGCATGATCCGTGAGCTGAGTCTGACCGCTGTCTGAAGTGCCTCTGTTCCGTATTCTGCCGCCTGTCTGACCAGCGGTTCCTGCACAGACAGGAAATGTGCTGCTTTCAAATGCTGCTCGGAATTATCAAATTTCCGATCAGTACGCAGACAAGCGACCACACACTCAATGTAAAACTAATAAAGTTCCATATCAATCAATACAAATCAATTCTAAAGTTAAAAAAAGCCTAGATTTATTGTTTAAATGTTTTTCAAAGTCACTCATCAATCTATCCGCTGTTGACTTTCTGGTGCTTCAATAATTCATGGAAAATAAAACGTCTTTCTTATTTACGACATAGTTTTAGCTGTGAAGCCCTCTTCCTATTTCTGGTTTGTGTTTTTGCTCAGTGATGGCAACTTAACACAAGCCTGGTCTAGAAACTAATTTGTTAGCATTTTCATATTAGTCATATAGGAGAACTGGAGATATGCACTTGAATTAAGAGAAATGAAAGGCAGCTGTAGAGAGACAGAGTACATTTGTGTCAATGAGAGGGAGTCAGGCAGGTGCAGTGAGGGTACAGGGAGCAGAGGTCACAAAGAGTCAGGATTTCAAGTACTTATGTTCAGGAAAACAGAGAGTGATTAATGTTCTCTACAATTAATAGGGAAATTCTAAGTTGTACCAATCTATTGCCTTTGCCTGCAAGTCTCACCACAGAAACAAAACCAACTTATTGACAACTAATAACCACTCTTCTCTTGCTATATTAGAATTTTCTCAGGGCCAAGTTTAATTATATTTCTAAACCTTCCACATCATTTAAATGTTTTCCCACTTTAATATGATTAAATATTTATTTTTGAACCATTCAAACTATTTTTAATATTCCAACAAAAAAATTATAACTTTTTTTGACCACATTGTAACAACATAAATGTAAAAGCTCAAAAGATACAAATGATCATTTTTTTTGGCACAGAGAGGTAAAATATAAGAACATTGATGGACCAGTTTTTGCTATCAGTCTACATAAGACAGGAATGCATGTGTAAATGTATCTAATTACTCTGAGTTTTACACAAACCCTTGTTAATTCTGACAGAAATGCACAAAACCAGTCGGTAAACACTCGCAGTTGGATTTAAGTACTTCAGATATTTTGTTCAGTGTTATATATATTTAATTCACGACAATGGTCCCGAACATGCTGAACAGAGCTGTTGAACTTATGATAAGTACATAAGTTTGTACTAATTATTTCACTGAAAAAAAATACAAAATTCATCTTGTTCGGTGTAGTTAAAATCAATTAAATAACTTTTTTTTTCATGCAAAAGGAATGCAAGATGGGGAGGTAATTTGGAACAAAAGAGGGGGAAAATGGGAAGTAAAATGTGCTCAACCTAAAAAAACAGAACTGTACATGCTGGCTTCTGGACATATAAAATCATACCATGGCAACCTTTGAAATGTCATGGAATGAAGCATTGTGGGTGTAAACAAGTTGTTCTAATAATAAACTTTGGAGTCCAATAAAAATAAAAACGATAAATAATATTAGCTAGTTTTCTTCATCACAAATACAGCACCATCATAAAAAGGTATTAGTTTTTTTTTAAAGTGCTGGGTTGTCCACAATAAAGTCCTTACTTGTTCAGTAGATTCTGGCAGCTGATGAATCAGTGAATCAACACACCTGCCTGTGTTCCACTGTTAAAAAACTGCTCCCATAAGTGACACGAGACATGATTATTTTACAAAATAAATACAGATATTTTTTTCAACCAGAGCAGCAAAAAAAAAAAAAATTAAAACCTGTAATCTGCTGCTCACATTATTTCCCCACACACATTCACACACATTTAAAAACACTCCTCAGGTACACACATTCTGACACACAAACACATTCTCTGTCCTTAAACAGATTGCACATAGCTGGTGGAGGACATGGTCCAAAAGAGTTTGTTGAATCGTGACGCGATGAGGTGTTTCTGCTCAGCCCGGGCACTCCTTGAGGTTGACGGGGCCGAACACGGCTGACGAGCCGTCAAAGGAGACCGATATGTCGTTGATCTTCATGTCCTGGATACAGCCCACAAGGGACGATCGGACCGGGAGTGTCTGATGCGTCAGCGTCTCTGTGGGACAAAGGTGCAGGTGGTCATTTGGTGAAGTGTTTGCCCTGCCCTGCTCCGACCTGTTTGATTTTATATCCCTAATTACTTTTAATGCTTTTAAATATATAAAATAAATTTTAGAGAAACTTTTCTTGAAGACATGAGTATCTGTAGATGCTGTACTCATAGCTAAACTTTTCATTTTAATTGAATAAAACAAAAAGAACCTTTGTATTTCTGCATCGATTAAGCCTACATTTGTATATATTTTATTTTGTTGTAACAATATTTTCATATTTAATTATATTAGGTGCATTAGCTCAACTTTACAGAGTTAAAACACTACATTTTTAAAGACTAATACATACCAGGAATGCCACCCACATACAAAGGGTCTTTGGTCAAAGTGGTAGTGGAAGATGGTGGTCCAATCTTATAGTTGTCTATTGTGTCCACAGACAGTTGAACAACATTTCTCCTCTTGATTACTAGAAATCAAACAGAAAATGATTGGTTGTATGTAAATATTGTCTTTGAAAAATACATTTAACCAAGCAAATGTAACTTTAACAATAAACAATACAGTAGCTTTTTATTCCTTAAACAGCCATCACTACTGATCACCTGTTCCCCCATGTTTTTGTCGTGTGTGTCTTCTTGAACGGATGTTCTTAAATGTAATTTCATTGTGCTCCGTACAATGACAATAAAGGCGTCATCAATCAGTCACTACAGATGGATCTTGTAGTCAGAAGATGTAGTATTTCAGAAATAACAAAGTACTGGTTTTCATTGAGTAGACACACAAGCTGAATTAGTTGAAGGTGGGTTAAAATTTGTCCAAGTCATAAACAAAGTCTGGAAAAACAGCGGTAAATTATTATATCGGATTATATCGGACCAAAAAAAAGCATGTAAGGGATTGTGATTGCAGATGACGTTAATACTGAGTGGAAACGTTGAAAAGAAAAGTCAACTCACTACAACATTTATTAAAATAAACCTCAAGGTTTGGAACTAATTATCTACTTAGYATGTCCTCTGAAAGAAATGACTTTCAATGTGAGACTAAAAAAGCATTAAAGGTGAAACTTTGGAGGAATAAAAGCTTATTTCTTGTTAATTGGTCTAATTTGATCAGACTTAATACAGTCCAGGGAGATGGGGTCATCAGGTTAAGAGGTGAAGCATGAATCTCCTCTAGTGTAAAATCCTGCGGAGGTAGTGTCATGGTCTGTGGTTGCTTCTGGTGGTCAGTTCTGGGATCAATTACATCATGTGTCCAAAAGCTAAGCTCAGCTGACTGCTGCTGCAAGTCCAGGATGACGCAATCATTTTCCAAGATGACACTGGCAGAAATATGGGGGCTTGTATTGTAAAAAGGCAGCCCAAAGATCAATTGGCCACCCAAAAATGCGGATCTGAATTTTTAAGATCTGCAGAAGTCTTTTTGAATCCAACTAAATCATGTGTCACACTATATACAGCATATATATATATATATAATATGAGACCTCTCAACTGTCTCAGGAGAGGCAGAAGCACAGAGACAGGGCAGAGAGCATGGGGGACAGTCTGATGTTGTTCTCTGTGTTCCTGTTGCAATAAAACTCAGCTGACCATTCCACAGACTACCTTCATTCTTGGACCATGTATTTCTGTCTTTGTTAGATAAATATTTTCCATAACAGTTGGCGTTGTCGGCAGGAGTATATAATGTATTTCCACAACAATTTATTACACATTTTGTTAGTTATACACGTTGCTGTTTCTGTGCAGGAAATACCATGTAGAGCTCAGTTGTTTATTAGCAGTGTTCATTCATAGCAATGARATAAGGAACATGATGTTTCATGTTTAGTAGAAGTAAAACACAATACATCAAAGTTTTCTACAGTTAGCCCTTTGAGGGCCACCATAATGCTCATGTGGCCCTCTGTGAAAATCAGTTTGACATCCCTGAACTAAATCTTCAATCCTCAGAGCAACATACTGGCCTTTGCATGTACCATATTTTACAACTCAATAGATATGAACTTTGAGACAGTTTTCCTATTGAATTTATGGCCTGCGCCATGATGAAAGCCCAAAGTGGTCCAACAAAACAGATTGTACCTTTTGTTTCAGTGATATATAGTGGTAAACATGTCTAATGTGTCAAAGTATCGTGTTAAATCGTGTGATTCATCGAGTTTCACCTGAAATTTTATGAAAGTTTCCATCACATAAAGGCGCTTTTGGCTTCACTGACACCATAAATTCTCCTCCTCCTTGGTTCACACGAACCACCACCTGCAAACGACAACATTATCATGCACTGTTTCAAAACTGGCCATGGGGAACACATCTACTATAGACACACAAAATAGAATATTTATTTCTTTTTTTCTACAAGCAGGTATTCCAAAGATTCAAACAGCGCTCTGTTTTGACAACTAACAGAAATCCATTTTCACCTCTCCTCTGAGCATGTAGATGGTGAGAAAGTGGCCCATCGCAGRTCCAGACGGGGTTCTGCTAGAATCGCCGGCATGAAGCAGGAGTCCAGACTGAGTGCGTGGGCGAATATTAAACAGCAGCTCCAAGGTAGCGCCCACATCAAAAGAGTCATCTGAAAGAGAGAAAATAAACATCAGCATTAATACGGGTATCATATAAGACCTAAAAAATTAAGAAGAAGAAAAAAAACATGAACAAATCCACTCCTCATCAAAATTTTAAGACCAGTTGAAAAATGTCAAGAATTCATATTTTGCATCACTGGATCACAAGAAGGTTCTAAGCAGAGCTGAGCCTATTTCAGTTTAATACTTGTTTGCAACAAAATGCTTACTCGTTCATTTTATCACTCTCATTTCTTCTTTTTGCATTTCAAAGTTTTACTTAGAAACGTATTTAAAATTTGGATCAGGAGTGTACATGCAATATTCGTAAAAAATAAAACCAATAAGGGCCAAAACTTTACAAAAATGTACTCAAAACCTAAACAATCTCATTAATTATTCAAATAAAACAGATTATCAGACATGTGAGAACTTAACAAAATGCACAGCAGATCATCTGAAGAGGCAAAAAAGATACACGTTGACTTTCTGTGTAATCGTACGATTAGAAAAATTGAAAAACTCCATTTACGTTTTAATTTGTTTGCATGCTTATATTTACTCTCCTTTGCATTTATTATTCACCCTGATATGTAGAAACGTGCAGTGTTTTAACATTCTCCTTGTGATTTACTCACGGGTAATGACGTGTGCACCATTTCCTGAGAAATACGCCCCTCTTTGTGTCTGCCCCTCAAAGCAGGGTCCTGCACCGTAGTTGGCAGCCGGATTTGACATGTGGGCTCCGTTCATTTTAAACTTGCGAATGCAGCCGGACACGCTCTGCTTTGGAAGGTCCTTCATCTGAAAGTAAAACCAACATTTGTTAAAAAACAAACAAACACATAAACAAACTATAGTATTTCTTTGAGTAATTTATTACCCCCCTTACCTTTAACTCTTTGTAGAAGGATGCTGGGGCACTGCCYAGGTACACAGGTGACATGAACTGCTGCATTGATTTCAACTCAGCACTTGTCAGCTGACCATCCTGAGCTCTGATCCCATCCACCACCAATCGGAATTTCTTCTTTTCCAGGCTAAAAACAACCTGCAGACAATACAGTTATATAAATTATAATTTTTCATAGTGTGTCACATTGTTGATATAATGTGATGTTTCGTTTTGGGGTATTTTCCTCATCTTCCCTTATGTGGTTTTTAGTTTTTCTGTTGTTAAATGTGGCACAACTGTGTTTGCTGCATGACCTGTTTCACTTGTTCCCCCATGTTTGCCTTGTATATTTTCTTGAATGGGTGTTTCTTAACTGCCCCCCTCCCCCATTCCCTGAATGTACAGCTCCTTGTGAATTTATTTCTGTGAAAGGCGCTATATAAGTAAAACTTTACTTTACTTATTTACTTATTTATTAAATTAAATACCTGAGCAGCAGATGTTTAGAGCTAGTTTTTGTTTTAACATCTATGATTGGGATGTACATATCCACTGACCGAGTGCCATTTCCCATCATTATATTTCTCTCGGTTGAAGATCTCCTTTTGTTTGGCCACAGACAGTCTGATCCGGCCCTTGGACATGTATAAGGCGAGGTGAGATTGCTCTCCTCTGGTTGCAGCAAAGAACAACAGACCCTCAGAAGACCGAGTCCTGACATCCAGAGAGAAGTGGGGTCTAGAGGAGAAAGAATAAATAAATAAATAAATAAATAAATAAATAAATAAATAAATAAATAAATAAATAAACAAAATCCTCTGAATTCAGCTGAGCATGCTTTGCATTCCCACATGTTTCTGTGTCAGAACCTGGCCTCTCACCTGGGCTGCAGCACCTGCAGAGGAAGGCTGAAGCTCAGGCTGCTGACGGGCCCCCCCACGCGGTAGGCATGTTGAACTTGGGCTGGTAACTCGCAAGACGAAACGCTTTCGATTATCACTTCGTTCACATCGTCCTAAAGTAGCACAAAGACAAACAACAGAAGCATTTCAGTGCAAGCTGGAGCATGARTCCTCTTGAGCTCACAGCTCTGATGAACCAGACGCATTCCAAACCTGTTGGTGGAGAATGTAGCTGCAAAAATCAACCAGTCACGTTTCCCCTACATGTTCAGCCACTGCAACGTGATTTTATTGACTCAACGAGTTAAGTGACCATATTATTACGAATCCTTTAAATGCTCATACCATRTATTCAAAATGCTTATATCCCAGGTCTTAAAATTAATATTGAAGCTTTGTTTTGTCTCCATTGTATTCAGTTTACATGCATGAAAAAATTAAGAAATCAGATTAGCTTTATTTCTACACAAATGCAGATTAATTACTGTAATATGTGATTTAAAACAAGCAAACACTCATCAGGCCACACAAAGTTGTTGCAATTTGTATTTTGTCAGATTAATAATCAGCTGTAGCTGGTTTTCATGCATTCTTGCGCATTGAATTAAAATCAGAGTGAGCATGAGATTTAATATAGTCCCACATCATTCTGTCGAGGTTAAAATTTAGAATTACAACTGCATGACAGAATAATTCATTAGGTGTTAAGTTTTGTTCTGTTTGATTTCATGTGCTTGCTTCGCTGCTTGTGATTTGAGGGATTCTTTTAGTTTGTTGTGTCATCAGGAGCAGATTTCTTTGCAACATGTTTCTGAAAATGACCCGAGTTTTTTTTTTTTTTGTGATCAAATAAAAACACTGATTCAGGCCCATGTACAGCAGTAATTCCTACATCTTAGAAAATATATTTTACTACATATTTTAATATAGAAACTTCTTGTATTTATTTCTGAACACATTGCTCTACTGATCTTTCGACTTTTCTTTTTCCCCCTTCAAGTGCAGTTTCTAGTGTTGACTTCTTATTCTTGTATGAAATCGTGTAGCAGCTGTAATTTTATATTTTAGATCATTCATCAAAGACTGATGTGGAATTTATAATGTACTGTAACAAATTTAAAGTGAGGAGGAGTATGCAGGGGTCAGAGTGATTGAGTGAGAGAACAATCAGGGTTATAATCATTGATTTAAAATGAAACAAAGATTTTAATTTTAAATGTGATTTTAAAACAAATTATAAAAGCAAAGTTTAGGTGAAAGTGTAGCGTTAACTCAAGTTCTGATTCTGATTTTATGATTTATTCCTATAAGTCAGAAGTTCTTTACTTAAATATTAAATAAATCAATAAAATCATACAAACTTCCCATTTAGTATTTATTTTAATAAAAGTCTAAAATGTATTAATGAAGGGAAGCTTTTTAACTCAACCATCAAATTCAAAAACTTAGTCTTTTCATGAACAATCAATATAATCTGAGTGTTTACCGATGAACTGATTAGAAAAGTGAAAGAATTACAATCATCGCTTTGTTTTTTCCTAAGTGGAGCTTCTTTTTAATGTAATGATCAGACATGATTGTATCTAACAGGTGTGRTTAGTGAGTTAGAAGGGATGTGCTTGTGAATAACTGTTATGAGAATTACATGAAAGAAAGAGAAGAGACATGAAATCATTTCAAAGTTGTTATTGACAAGTTTGTGATTGTTGACTTTAAATAGAGAAGAAATATGATGAAATACAAAAAAAAAAAAACATTTTTTTTCTGTTCCATATGAGTATGGAAGCATTCATGCAAGTATTGTTTTTATTGGAGCACTCTGCAAATCAATGAGCTTGTGCGAAAGCCGAAAAAGATGGCTCAGGTTTCAAGTCAACGTTAGATTCTTGTCCTCATCAGCGGGTCTAAGGGACTCCTCCTTCTTCATCTCTGGAAATGAGGCAGCAAAGTTTAATGTAAGCACGTACATAACGTCACAAAGAGACAAGATTAGGTTGAAAATGTGACTTACTTTTAATGACAGGATTCTACAAATCTTTATGAGGCCAAGTTAATAATGCTTAATGATGATTTATCTGGAATAAAACGTGCATGATTGCGAAATTCTCACCTTTTTAGAGGCGCGGTCCTGCATTTGTTGAGCAGGGCTGAAGTCTGTATACATGTCCAACTCGACGTCTCCAGAAGCCATAAAGGTGCTGAAGTCTTCAGCTGTGTACAGGTTGGCTGGCCTGTAATAATAATGAAAAGCGTATCATCTTAAAATGAAATTAAAAATCAAAACAGCAGACGCAAACTGTACTCAAAGTCATTAAAAATTAAAAGCCTAGCATTACTTGAAGGACTGCATTTAACCATAGAATGTTGGGATGACTCTCAGCTCCCAAAACCCCAAATTTTAGATCAGTATCTATAAAACCAACAAAGTTGGAGCCAATGTTTGTACCTTTTAATGTTCAATTAAGTCRACTTCAAAAAGCAGCGGCTCATGAGATATTTTGGTAACACAAACACAGGCAAGAAAAATCTTGCCTATTGCCAAGAGTGTGAAAAATAAAGGTGAAAAGCACAGAAATATTACCGCCTGGTGTAGAAGTTGGAAATGCAGCCTTTGTACTCCTTATTCCCAAGAACCACGGCGCCTCCAGTCTCAGTAAAGGGTCTGGTATCACTTTGTTCCTGACCATAATCAGCATCATCCACACGCAGCTCAGTCCTGAAAGAAATCATTAAAGCTGTAGTTAAAAAAAATACTCATGTGACTGCCCCAACATGCATTATGAATGGTTGCATTATCTTGATAAACTCTGAATGGAAAACTGCTTCTTTATACCTTCCAGCTCGTTTGGTGACAGTCAAGTAATGCCACAGCCCATCGTGGTACTGTTTGTTAGATTTCCACTTCTTGCCATTGAGTTGTAGAGTCAAGTAACCGTTTTCTAATGCAAGAACAACCTCATATGTCTGGAAGAAGGAGAAAAACAAGTGGAGACTCAATAAAGTTCTTGCTGTTTYGATAAAACAATAAGATCAAGCGTTAAAATGAACCTAAACACTGACTGGGTACTTGTCCTGCAAAATAAGGCTCTGATTCTCTGTGCTTTTGAATCCGAGGGACACGCTGACGTCTTTGTCCAGAATGAAGCCTGGGAGCTCAGCAGAGAGGGAGCCGTCCGAGCCAAAGTGTGCTTGGCGTGCAACCTAAGCAGAACGGACATCAGATCAGCAGTTGAAACAAAAACGTGGCTGTGAGAAGGGCAGCAATGAGAGTTTTCACTAAGATGACCATCATACCAGTGAATCTGTTGGACAACCTTTGCTGATGCCCAATGGTTCATCAATAGGTTGAAATACATCTTGTAACTTCAGATTCTTCAAGCATCCTTTGTATGGTCGAACAGTGATGTTGAATCTTAAAAAGAGCACAAAAAATGAAGGTTATTCTTGAAGAAGCTGGGTGAAACCATTGAAACTTAGAGGCAGGGGGATATTAATGACCACATACTTGTCCCTCAGCTCCTGTGGTGCACCTCCGACATAAAGTTCTTTAAAACTTGCAATACTGTACGCAGGTTTGTTGGCAATTTGTACATTAGAGCCCACAGAGATTCTCACAAGTCCTGTGGTTGTTAGGACAAATTGTATTTCTGGCCAGTCAACTGTCTGAAACTGAAAAGTGCAGCAAAAATACAGATCAATAACTCACTTCTGCAGGAGTAATATAACTTAAACATGTAAAAGACAAAAACACAAACACACAAAAAAGAAATAATAAGTTTCTTACTGGATATATGTTTTTTAAGATGACTGGAGAGTCACTAAACTGATTGCCACGTACATATAGAGAACCCCCCTCCATCGTCAAAACTACGTAATTGTCCTGCAACACACAGTAAGTTAAAAAAATCAATCATTTGAATTAAGCATAATAATAATAATTCATTTTTATAAATATATGAGAAATATTTACCCCCTCTCCTATAAATGTGAGCAGGCCGTCTGGTAAGCGAGTAAAGATGCTCATGCTGATTCTTATAAACGTCCTCTTTATTTCTCCTATTATCACTTTACCATATCCAGTGCCTTCATATAGGTCCGAATCAACTGGAGGTACATATCTGAACAGAATCAAGCGTCAGTAAGAAAATTAGTTTCATGAAAATCTGGGTACGCTTATTGTCACTTCAACAAATGTATGCTTACATTTACTTAAAGGAACATTGTGTAACATTTAGGCGCATCTTTTAGCAGGAAGATAAGATAATCACTAATAAAAATGTCTAAAAACACATCTAATCATTAAAAACCAAGATGTCATTGGATTAATTTTACTTTAGCTGTTTACAACTACATGGCAACGCTGTTTGAGGCCGCCATTTTGCACAGCCATGTTTCTGCAGTAGCTCGGAAAGGACGAACAAAAGGCTAGCAAAATAAAAAAATGTTTGTGTCTGGATTGTAGTAACTTCTTAAATTCCTAATGAAGTTAATAATATCACTTATTCTAAAGCTGCTGCTGATATTACATATCACATAGAGATGCCGTCTTATTTTTATTTTTTGTTGGGGGTGGATTTCAGTTGGTTGCAATAAGGAACCTCAACCACTAGATGTCACTGGATATTACACACTGTTCCTTTAATATTTGAGCAAGAGCTGGAAAATATACCAATGGGGTGTTTAAGTACTAACTGTACCTTTTGCAGGGAGTTTCCAAATTGACTTTCTCCACTCTTTGGAAGTTGTACAGACTCAAAACCTTGTCATTAAAAGAAACAAACTCAATGCAGCCTGTGTATTTTGGGTAGTTCATGGAAGCTGGTGGCTGAGGAGAAACCAAAGAGAGTGAGGTGTTAAAGACACAATGTTTATTAAAGATCAAAAAATACTGGTGTTTCTGCTTCTTACAGTGAAGTTGGCGGGGTAGCCTCCAACGTAAAAAACAAAGTCACTGGGACTGACATCCAGGAGGTCCTTGTTCTCCTCTCCTTGGTTGTTGCTCGTAATTGGGTCTTTAGGCGTATTCGAGCTTATTTCTTTGATCAGAGCAAGCTGGGCGTCTTGGTAAATCCTAAATCACATGAAGAAAAAATTTCATCACACCTCCTTTTTCCTTTTACAGACAGAGCTAATTCAAAATAGACAAGAGTGGGGATTAGTTCAAACCGCTGGTTCACCTGCGTAGGTTCACTCTGTCGAACATGGCTTGCTCAGACCCTGATGTTGTGATGGAACTTGTTCTCATCTCATATTCAACTCCGTTGAGCTTGTAGACGCCGTACAGAACGTTGCTCCTCAGCACCAGGCCTATGTAATTCTTCGAGGACTGCAACACACAGTACGTTAGCACCAAAATCCAAATCTCAGTGTCCAAATTGTCTCGCATGGTTTTGATTCACTCACATCTCTGTTGCCAATGTACAACACAAACATGCCGGCCGGAGCCTGTCTGCGTCGGCGCGATCCGTCGCCCCTGCCGGTAGGTCTCTGCAGGGACAGATTCAAGGCCGTGTAGGCTCGCAGATCGTCCAAGTTCTTCGGCAGACGCAGCTCTACGTGACCGTCCCCGCTAAACTTCATTGGGATCGCGATCTGGAGGCGCGAAATGGTCRAATGAGAAACAGCCCCAGTAATCGCAAGGCCGTATTTAGAGAAGCGGATCTCACCTTGTTTGCTGCATCCCTGGCTTGTTCAATGAGCTCTTTGATGTTCCTGATGCTCTCGGATATGTTGTTAATGGGCGAGAACTGCGAGGTCAAGTTCTCCACGGCTGAGATCTTGTCGTTCAGAGAAGGGATGGTGTTCCACAAATTCTTCACTGGAGTGGAAAGATACAAGATGCCAAAATAAAGGACAGAAGAAAACAGCGTCTTTTCTGTCTTTTCATAACGTTCCAAGTCTCACCTGACTGGTCCACATCGTTCAAGACGTTGTTCAGGTTGGAGTCCACAGGAGTGAGATTGATTTTATCGAGCTCCGTTTTGATGGCATTGAGTTTGTCCATGGTGTTGGTGGCGGAATCATTGGCAGCAGCTGCTTTCTTCTTCGCCTCCTTAATCATAGCCTCGATGTCATCTACTAGGCACAACGATGCAGAGCAGAATATGCAATAAAATACAAGGAATAGACATGAATGGATTTGACAAACAGGATTAGCTCAGACTTTATTCTTCAGATTGTTTGCCCTCATCCAATTTACCCGCTTTGATGCCGTTTAATTCAGTCTGTGCATCAGCTAGGCTTTTTTCAAGGGTTGCCTTCTTTTTCTCAGCTTCGCTCAGACGGTTCTTCAGGTCAGTGAGTTCACCGGCTGTGCCTGTAACAGAAAAAACTCAGCAAATAAGCTTAGGGAAAAAAAACTTAWCAAAAGTTTAAAGTGGTTTAAACTCATACCCTGCAGGGTTTTTTCTGCGTCCTCTGCACTCTTCAGCAGGTCGTCACTCTTCTCCTTGAGTGCTTTTGCTTTATCTGTGAGGTTCTGCTGTTTGACATTCTTAAAAAGGAAGAAGAAGAAAAAAAACATGTCAGAACACCAAGAATATGTTTGGAGTGGTCGCTTGTAAGATTCTGTTTGCTTACATTCAGTGCAGTGTCTGCAGCGTCTTTGGCCTCGTTAGCAGCTGCCTCTGCAGCGTTAATGGCATCTATGATGTTCTTGTAGGCCTCAATGGCGTCTTTCGCATCACGCACTTCAGAGAGTCCACTTGCATTTTTCACGCCACTGTCATAGATAACAACATGGGACAAAAACGTGAAGAAGTGCACCGTTGTTGCTTTTTGCAGAGATCTTGACTTCATGTCTTTGTTGTATGAGTAATAAACCTACTCCTCAAGCTCTTGGGCTAGTTTGGCTAGGTTTCTTGCATGTTCCTCCGCTGTCTCCACAACGGGTGTTTTGGCCGCTGCACTGGTGATCTCCTCTACTTTTTTGGTCAAATCATTCTTGGCACCATCCAGCTGTGCGGCCAGCTGTTCATAGTCCTACAACAAAGAAAGGAGGAGGGTGAACGGATGCCAGCAATCCAGAGCACATGGAAATATCACTGACCTTACATCAGAGCGCAACATTAAAATTTAACATCTAACTGGATTTGAGCTGATTATTACTCAGCTACAGAATGTTGCTGCTTTGTGTGAATTAGTAAATCTCACCATCTGCAAGAGTAGAAAAGAAAACATTTGTAAAAAAAATGTACCGTTTTATTGTCTGAGAGTATTTTAACTAAATCCTCCGTCTTCTGTAGTTCATCCTCTGCCATGGTCATCTGGTCCACCACAGTTTTCCGCTCTTTTTCTAAGTCATCAATACGTTTCTGTCGGGAACATGTAAAACATTTTAACTCAGGTTACTAGTTAGTGGGAAAACAACTAGTGCGTTTATTGCACAAGCTTATAAAAAGCATCTGGGCAAGTCATTTCCTTACCTGCAGATTTTCCAGTGTCTTAGCGTTGAGAGTGTTCTGGGCATTGGCTTTTTTCACCAAGTCCTTTGCCTTCTTCAAAGCCTCGTCCAGTTCCTTCAGCTTGGCGCTGTAATCATTCAGAAGGCTCCGGATCTTGTCTGCTGCTGCCTCATTTTGGTCACACACCTCGCTCATGTTATTCTTGACATAATCTAGGACTAAAGTGGAGAGACGACAGAGTCCAAACGTTTATTTATTTATTTATTTTTTTCAGTTTCAAACTGGATCACCATGACCATCATGCTCTCCGAAAGGTTTAATGAGTGTTTCTTACGTTTCTTTGCTTCGTCTCTTTCTGTTTCGGCAGCGGTCTTCGGAGTGGTAAAGTCTCTGTTTTGCATCTCCTTCACCATGCGCTCAGCTTCTTCCAAAATTTTAGTCAGGCTGTCACTGGGAAACGCATCTCCTCTACCGTCTTGGTTCCTCAACTGGTCTTGTAAATCTAAAAGCACACCATATTTGACTTGGTCAAGCAAATATCTGATAGAATGTTGAAAACTGACATCATATAAAGGAAAACAAAAAAGAGTTGCCTTTGATTGTGTGTTTCTATTTACCTCTTATTTTCTTTAGTAGGTTTTGAATCTCTAATTCCAAATCCTTTGCCCTAGTGTGGGTTTTCTCACCATTTGCTAATGCCTTGTCAGTTTCAGCAGCCCTTTCATCTGCCTAAATAAAAGCACATTACACAGTTGTATGCTTTTCAATCTTGTAGCCTCAATATGTTTAATGGGTTATTCTGAAGTCTACCTTGTCCTTGAGGGAGGAAACATCATCTGCGAGGTTGGACATGTCTTTTTCCAGCTGGTCAACTTTGGATTTTTGGGTGCTGATGGCAGAGCTAAACTTGTCGACAAGAATCTTCAAAAGGTGACAAAGGTAGAAATGACAATTTTGCAGGTAAAAGTCTGAAATCTGAGGCATAAAACAAGTGTTTTCCCCCTTTTTCTTTAATCATATGAAAGTTACATAACGGGTGCACAGTCACAATAACTAAATTGATAAACACTAGAATTTGATGATATTTTCAGCTTATTAGCAGCAGTGTTGAGTTTTCAAACAAGCACCCACCTCCATTGATGATTATCTAATTAACAGTATCTGCTTTGTGACTGTAAAATATCTCCTGATGCTTTGTTTTGTTAACATGTTACCTTGGTGTCTGACACGGCCTTCTCCAGCTTCCCTAGTCGATCTTTAGAGGCGGTACTGACGGAAACGTTGTCCATCTGATTCTTGATCTTTTCCAGCTCACTGTCAAGCTTTTCCAAGTCTCGCAGTAAAGTAAGAGCACAATTATCACACTCTGGAACATWAAAAACAGACAGTAGCCCAAAAAATGGCATGTGTTATCCATGTGAACAACACTCAAAATCAAAAATTGTTTTTGTTAAAACTAATCTGGAGCAAAGCACAAGTTCTCTGTGACCCTGCAACATTAAAATGAGTAGAGAGGATGGATGGATGGATGGATGGATGGATGGATGGATGGATGGATGGATGGATGGATGGATGGATGGATGGATGGATGGATGGATGGATGGATGGATGGATGATAGTATTGTTGTTGTTTTGTTGTGCAACTGTGTTGTGTAACTGTACCTTGGCAGTGCTCCTCCATGTTTGTGTCTCCTGGCTCCAATGTGTTTTTGCAGACTACAGAACAAACAAACAAGTTTACGTGTAAATATAAATTAAATGACAAAAGAAAACATTTTTTACACAACAACAGTTTAGCATTTGACCTCCAGTCCTGGGATCACAGTTGTTACTGTTGCCGTTGCAGTTACATGGCTGACAGCTTCCTCCTGGTTTCATCGGATTGCCAAAGTAACCAGGAGCACAACTATGAGAAGTAAAAGACACACAATAAGCAGCAAATCCCAACAACAAGGCAACAGTACGACCTCCGTTTCTTCGTACTCACCTCTCACACCGGTTTCCAGTGTAGCCTGTCCTGCAGAAACACCGGAGGTCTCCGACTACATTTCTGCAGCCAACTGCAAAACTGACCGTCGACAAAACAGGCATGAGTTACAAAATTCACCTTTCTAATTGACTACATTTATTATTATTATTATTATTATTATTATTATTATTATTATTATTATTATTATTATTATTATTATTACCTGTTTGTAGGTATACTTAATGGACACGGGCACAAACTGCACGTCCTCTGCACGGCGTTGCCATAATAACCTTCTTTGCAGCGTTCACATCGTTCGCCAGCTGTGTTGTACTGACAGTTCTGAAAACGGTATAATCCGTTCATTAACCCGGTTTCCAAGGAAGAAAGATAAATAAGTAAAAATTCAAAAATGAAAAAGTTGAAGCAGAAAAACTAATGAAAAAATTAAAATATATATGTTTTTCTAAATCAATAAATGGAGTGCTGGATGAACTCGGAGGTGAGTTCAGTCACTCGCGTGTGTTTGTTTGTGAGCGATGAATATGTGTCTGTGCATGCACAGTCTTGACTGTCTTGTGCAACAATTATATGAGGGTTTGAAAAGTAAAAAGCTTGTCCTTTATCCTCGTCTCAACTCTGACTAAACATTAGCTCACTCTACAGTCAGCCGAATCGTTTCTTTCCAGTCATGACGGGATGCCTGCACGCCTGTAAAGATGGAAATGAGAAGCTCGAGTACGCTTCTTACCAGACACCTCCCTGTCCAGTCCTCACACTCGTCAGCCAGACCGTTGCACTCGCAGGGCACACAGCGACCCAGGTAAGATCCGTTCCTGTCCCGGTAAAAGCCAGGAGCGCATTTCTGGTACAGAAAACAACAAAAAAGGTAGATGTAGACACATGATTGCCCACAAAGAATGCACAGCATGTTAGGAAGGTGAACTCATTCACCCAAGTTCATCACTATCATATTCATGTCAGCAGAAAATCTAATCCTGCCCAATGATTTGCACAATCTTGTGTTAAAGCAGCTGTCAATCATAAAAAAAAAGTTAATCTCCTTATTTTGAATTTGGCAAGCTCTGGTTGCCTAACTTTGTGCAACATTTATAATTTGCCAGATTACAAACTGTCATATATTATAATTTTTTTTCTTTTTCACTCATTGCAGCGTCTTCAGAGATTTTTGCCAAGAATGCATTAAAACCTATGCTCCTGTAATGTGTTCAGCTTTAATTTGAAAGTCAAGAACACAACAATGAGCTTGGGCTGATTTTACTGTCATTAACTATTAACAGCAAAAAAGAAAAAGAAAAAAAATGCCCTTTGCTTTAAGAGATAAGTACACTAACTGTCCACGAGTGACACTTTGAGCTGAAAAAAGGCGGCGACTGAAGTAAAATACTAGACTTTTCGCAACAGAATGCCTCTCATCTTTGCAGATTTTTACCTGAACTTGAGAGTTCTCACCGACTGAAGGATACTGAATGCTCTGCCCCTCATCCTGCACCACTTGATCATTAACAGAAGGAAACACAATCTGCTGAGTTCCCTGTTCGTGAAGCAAAGGGTACTGTATCCTCTGAGCCGATCCGTCGTGAAGCCTGGTGTCGCGGGGTCGCTCTCGCCCGCCGAGGGGTCTGTTCCCGGCGCAGCAAAGGCCGAGCAAAGTCCAAAACGCCAGGGTCCGCAACAGGACCCCTCTCCGCCGAAGCCCGCTCGCGCATGTGTCCGACATGGCCAGAGGTTTAGCCCGTGAAAAATAATGCTTTGCTCCCCCCCTTTGCCTCGGCTTCTTAAAGTCCCACACGCAAACCGGGACACACCCCATTTACCTGAGTCAGGTGTGCTGATCAGCGTGAGTGTATGCAGCGTACAAGCTCCCACATGCAAGTGTTTTCTTGCTCTCAAACACTGACACACACACACACACACACACACACACACACACACAC